AGTCACATAATTGGTAAGGAAGTCACTGTAGCCAGAATATTTATTAGCATGTTATAAATAGAAAAAAATCAGGAACCTGGATTTTAAAAGTTTTGCCTTGTATCAAAATGGAAGCATATGTCACAGAAGGGACTCAAGGAGTCCAAAACTAACTCCACTGCCAATTGTATCCCTCTTATAAGAGTTGACTCATTGGAAGAGACCCTGATGCTGGGAGATTTGGGGGCAGGAGGAGAAGGGTACGACAGAGGATGAGATGGCTGGATGGCATCACCGACTCGATGGGCATGAGTTTGAGTAAACTCCGGGAGTCGGTGATGGACAGGGAGGCCTGGCGTGCTGCGATTCATGGTGTCGCAAAGAGTAGGACACGACTGAGCGAATGAACTGAACTGAACTATTATGACACATGCTTTAGTATGGAGTAACGAAGCGTTAATTTTAAATTTACACTAGATCTGCTTCTACGACTTCAACCCTTTTTTTTGTGATTATAAACATACATAATGGCCTGCCTCAGGGAGATAACCTGAGCCAACCACCTGTGAAGGACATTCTCAAGGACTGAGTCTTTTTACTTTGTTTCCTCACCTCCCCTCCATCTCTGATCTATGAGAGAACCTGGCAACCAGGCCCTGACAAGATGATTACTGTGAGGTGCGAGCCTGCCATCTTCTAGGTCAGTTGGCTTCCCGATTAAAGTCTCTTCCTTGCCTCAACACCTCCTCTCTCAGATTTACTGGCCTGTCGTGTGGTGAGCAGAGCGAGTCTGGACTTGGTAACAAGTATGTGGTACCCAACAACATATTTTGCACTTCCACTTCCTTTAATTAATGTACATCTTGTCTCTAAATAAGTTCTGTACGTTTTTTAAGGAGGATTATGACTAACATTTATTCATCAGTGTACTCACTCAAAAAGACCTTCTCTCTTCCAGGCACTGCGCCAGCAGCTACATACACAGCATTAAAAAAACCACAAAGCTTCTTGTCTTCTTGGGTCATGCATTACACTGTACAGTGACAACACATTCAAACAATAAACACAGAAATAAGGAAAACATAGGCTGTCAAATGGTCCTAAATGTCATGGGGAAAACAAAGTATGGACAGAGGACAGGGAATGCTAGACAAAGCAGAAGCAGGAGGGTGGCTGCAATTTTACAAAGAGCAGGCGATTTGACATCAAGCACCTTACTGATAATGCAACGTTGCACCGGAGACCTAAAGGAGCTGAAAGAGACGAGACGGAGGTGAGACTATCCCAGGAAACGCATTCCAAGAGAAAGCAGCAACAAGTGCCAACGCTCTGAGGCCAGGGTTTCCCTGGCGTAGAGACGGCACAACATGTGGCCAGCAGGGCTGGAGTGAGGCCAGCGAAGGCAAGGCTGGGAGACTGCGGTGTCCCGTCTCTGCTGTGCGCGCTGTGTTTGAGAGAAATGGGTGTCAGGGGAGCCCTGGGAGCAGTGACCACCGCAGTCCAGCTTATGTCTCAAAAGAGTCATCAGGGCTCTGATGAAAGGTAGATGCTAAGGGTGGAAGAAGGAAGCTGGGGTTCAACTCAGACGTGTAAAAGGCTTGGAACTCCTCACTCTCATTCTTACAAGAATGTGGTAAACAAACGGCAAACCCAAGGGAAATCCAATTGCAAAGAGATGAGATTACCTGGAGGAGAGTCTGACAGGAATAAGTAACTGGCAATTCTGAGCAGAGCTGCTGAAGGCTGAATGTGGTGGAGCTTAAGTGAGAGTAAGAAACTTACTTCAGAAGTAAGACACTTCTGCCTAGTCTTAGAGGTATCTAACATCTACTCTTTTGTGGGTTTTAGTTCCAGGGCCCAAGGACTCCCAGGTTCTTGCACAGAAAAGCCAAAAAACAGGCCTTCCTGGCTCTGCGGAGGACGGACGAGAAAAAGAACTTTTATGAAATGATCCTCCTTCAAAACAAAGGTCTCCCCTCCAGGGAAGCAGCTTTACCACAGCTGCTTCCCAGGGCTGTGGGGGGCAGGCACTCCCCTCCCTCTCATCTCCTCTGGCTTTCCTGTCCCGACAAGGAGAGAGAAGCAAAGTGAAGAAACTCTCACACAGGTGACAACCTAGAGACACTAGGATTTCATCACCAAAAAAGAGGACACAGCCCTTCTCTGACATTTAACCAACACACCTGCAGGGCTTCAGTATAAAAATGGTTAATTTACAGGAGAAAGAGATGCAAAATACAGACTCCAAGTTTTAGCTAAAGCCCAAAGACCTTAGAAGAGAAAAGGAAATCAGGGAAATACAAGGCCTCCATCTACAGCAAACATTAAACTCAAACCCAACTCAGCATCAGATTAACATTAAAACTCACACTAAGCCTTTTTTACCTAAATCCCTATTATTAATACCTGGTAACATCACGTCTGACTCTCACAAAAGCACGCTAAAAGGCAAGAAAATGGAAGCAGGGAGATTCCGCTACAGACCTCTAATAATAATCTGACAAAAGATGGTGGTGACTTGGGCCATGATGGTAGCAGTGGAGATGGTAATACATGGTCAAGTTCTGGATATATTTTTGAAGACAGAAGAGAGGGGATTTGCTGATGAAATGGATGTAGGGTTGAAAATAAAAGGAGGAGATATAGATAACTCCTGATGCTGGGCAAAGCTTTTGAGAAAATGGAGTTACTATCAACTGAGATGGGAAAGCACTTGGCTGGAGTACAGGTTAGGAAGGGGGTTGTTCAGGAATTCAGTTTTTGATGTCTCAGAGGATTTATAGCCATTTAACTAATAATATTTGAAGTACCTAAATACTATCACACTTCTTAAGTAGTAAGAGACACAAAAATATATCAGACATGCTTAATAACTGTTTTACTGAGTGAACAGATGGATGAAGAAATGACCAATCATTTTAACCATGTCACCAAACTAATTTCAAGAAAAAGAAATTTCAACAAAGTCGAAATCATAACTGTCAACAGTATAGTACCTAATGCTGAAAAATATTCGGGAATTTTTTCACCTACCCGGGGACAGAGACTGCTACTTACAGCAGCATCTCAGGATTGGCCCTACCCTTCTTCAAGAGCAATATAGTGTGGCAGGGTGCTTGGAGTCCCAGAATGGAGATAATATCTCCCAGCCTTCCTCGCAGTGAGGTGTGGCCCAGAGTCTGGGAGGGAGCATGATATGGCAATTTCTGTGATATGCTCTTCAGAGAATGGGAACACCCACCATTTGCCCCTTCTCTCCCTCTTCCTGTTAGCTGAAGTGCTGAAGTGACACTGAGCCATCTTGGGCGACTGGGACAGGGTGACCCTACTGAGATGGCAAGGGAACAAAAGCAAAGGAGCACGGATCTAGAAGACCCACGGCGCCATCTTATCAGCTCTGTACTACACAGGCTTAGACTGTTACGAAACAATAACGATTCTATCTTCTTTCAGCCACTGTTATCCTGCCTCTTTGTTACAGTAGCTTAACCTGAAACTTAACCGATACATTTAATAAATCCTTAAAACAACCCTGTGATGAAATATGCTGGGGTTTTCTTTTAATTCCTTACCGTGTATCTCTTTTAAACAACAGGAGAATAAACTGGCTACCTAGCCATGTTTTATATATTCTCATGTACCAGTGAAGAAAAACTAACCGAAAAGCATTCTATAAGAACTCATTCAACAATTTTTATAGCAAGATTCAGGTGCAGACATTCAATAAATTGTGCAGTGCTCACTATGTAAAAAGCCACAGGTAAAGATTTTTCCATGAGAACTGAAGAATTCTATGCTATGTATCAGCTCAACTTTAATGTTTCTGCTCCCATTAAAGTCTCTGCAATCTATTAATCATTTTAAGTACCAACAATCAGTCCCTTGTCTTAAAGAAATGAGTAGTTGTTCAAGAACTCTAAATTGGTAATCAGATAGGAATGCCACAGTTGTTTGTGGGGCATCTAGATATTTGGATAAATATCCTGATACGTATCAGCAGGCCATTCCATTCATTAGGAACAGTCTCACACATTCAGTATTTGAATACTGGTACAGAAATGTGTTGGAAAAAGTAGAAAAAGCCCAGTTCAAACGCTATGCAAGCTGCTATAATTTAAAGGATAAATCACAAAAAAAATAGCTTATGAAGAACAAGACTTTGGCACTATTTACTATGATATATTTTTGTACTTAAAATGTACACTTATTTTCATTCAACTGCTCTCTAGCTTCTGTCATCATTTCCTTGCCTAAACCAGAGAAATCACTGAATTAACAGCTTTTGACTATTCATTTATACTTTAAAGGCTACTTTCTACTCTAGCAATAGATTTTGAGATTTGCTAAAATAATTTTCTAAGTCAAAAGCAATCATGAAAAATATGCTCAATCTTCTCATTGAACAGTAAAAAGTGTATTTCCTTAAGTGACTTAAGGACTTACTTCCAAATGAGAATGCGCAAACTGCTTGGCAACATCCAGATAATTTAGCTTCTGCAAAGCTCAGGATGACTCAATGCTTACACACGCACACACTGACACCTACAGACACGATGCCAGGATTCAGAGGTAGCCTCATCTCCAAATCTTTTAAAAATGCCAGTGTAAGCCTTGTGGTATTTCCTCAGGTGATGCTTGGAAAACAGAAGAGCTAAACTGTATTTAAGTGAGATAACCTGACTTTTATAACATGATGAAGAAAGATGACGTCCATATCACTATTTTAAAATGTGGAAATCAAGCATTTTTCTAAATTCTGACAACAGTCAATATTTTTACACAATAGGAGCTCTAACTCCTCTGGACAAGTATAGTCAGAAACCTAGGAAAACACGTTCCTATTCCAAATATGGAACAATGGAAGTCTAAAATGGTCACATTGCTCATCTCAAAAAAAAAAAAAAGAAAATGTTAAAGTATTACAAGAACCTCTTCTTTCTTAACACTGTTAAAAAGCAAGAAGGAAAGATATAAAAAGGCAGAGTAAACCATCCAGGTAAAAGCATAAAATAAAATATTACCTTTAGCTGGGTTTACTTTTATCCCTGACCTATACAGCATTTCCTCATTCTGCCAGTCTCCGTTCCTGATTGCCGTCTTGAGTCCATAGAAAACAATTAATGCAGCTGTAGCATAAAAAATCAAGCTCTTGAGAAACCTCTTTTGGACTTTGACATAAAGGGCTCTGGCACCCACTGTAATGAGGAGGCAAAAGCCCATACTAGGAATATACAATACTCGCTCTGCAATTACAAAGCCGACATAGAAAAACAGGTTCGTGGCAGGAACAAAGGGTATTATTAACAAAGATAAAGACAGAACAACTATGTTCTCCGTAGAAGGAAGCTGTGTTCTCTGCGATGCATTGTTTCTAATGCCATTTTCTACTTTGGATGCAAAGCTGGGTTTAATCTCTGAGTTCCCATACTCCACCTCTGAATGGCAGCTATGTCCATTTGCATTCTGCTTTCCATTTGTTACAGACTTCCCGTTGCATTCTCTTCCTAGGCTTGGGCTCTTCAAACCATAGTAGGCGAGGAGGAAGAGTCCAGTATAGAAGGCCACAGTGTGCAAGTTTCTCCAATCAGAAATTGTTTTGAGCAGAGGCACGGCATCCATTGACCAATCAAAACTGAGGGTATCTGGGCATAGCAACAGCCAAAGGTTCTTGGTTGGCAAGTAGAAGAAGGTGAGCGTGCGAGCCAGGAGGCTGTCCGAATCAGCAGCTGGGTTGTCAGAGTTGGAAAAGCTTGGTGGTTTGTTTCCCATCCAGTATAAACGGGCACCCAAAAGGGAGGTTCCCCAGAAAGTTAACAAACTAATGCTGAGAAAAAGAGACAAGTTCTTCCTCTGAAACCAAAAGAGAGGGGGAAAAAATTAAGATCATCATCAATATCGCACAGGAACAGATCATTTAAAAATGAAAAGCATCTTTAAATGGACAACTAAAAACAGAGTATTAGGTTTCAAACACATGACTTTTTTTCTATCTCCTTTAAACATGCTTACGGCTCCTGTAAGCTTAAAAAAAAATGACTATGGAATCCAATTCTGTATACAACTTTTCCTCTTGTTTCTTGCTAAATACCAGTAACCAGAGCTTCAATTTCTTGACCTCTATAAAATGGGTTGAAAATATTTTCCTCCCAAAACTGGTATTAAGTCAAAATGAGACCACAATATAAAGTACTCAGCACTGTATATGGAATATAGTAGACATCTAATAAATGTCTTTCTTCATTTTATAGTTTAGATTCTGGGGAAAACAAAAAGCAGGCATGTCAAAAAACTTGGAGTTGACAGGATTCTGCATGGCTCAAAGGAAAAATAGAATTTAGCTATAGATATACCCCACTTTTCAAATGTTCACTTAATGCCACTTTGCTTTTACAAAAGAACTAAATTCGTACCTATTCTCATTAGCAACAACAACAAAAATGCAAAGAGGATTTTCACATTTATCAAAAAAAAGGTGAAAAGTGAAAACAGGTTCAGCGTTTGTTTTTGCAGGGAGCCATCTACAGAGGCAGTTACAAACAGTGAGAGTGGGATCACCAAGCTTTTTCCCCAGGAACTACTCAGAGCATCAAGCTGTCACGGCTTTAAACTGTTTCAGTGACCATCTGCACTTTGTCTCCATTTATTTTGTACATCTGCTACCAAGGTAATATAGCTTATTTGCTTTATGCTATTTCAGCTTACAAAAGGTTTCACAGGAACAAATACTTTCAGATAATAAGGAAAACTGGTATGTCTATGCCAGTCCCTGTTTAACTATCTTGATCTCTTTGCAGAATGTATAAAGTGGGCTTTCATCTGCTATCTTGTGCTCTCAATGACATCAGTGATAATAAACATCTAATAAGACTCCTCATGAATCCTAAAATTTTCATGTCAATGATAACTTTTTAAAAGTAAAATGGCTTTAATATAAAGACAAAACTGAGGGAGGAAGGCCAAAGGGCATCACTGTTAATAAGAAATTTCTGGCAAACTCTTTCAACCCAAATAAGAATTTAGTTAAATTAACTAAATTTAAGTTCCGAAGAGGCAGTGGGAAAGGGAGAAGAGGTGGCACCACTTCCCGACTGGAATGCTTCACTGCTCATGTTTTCTCTTACAGAGATCGCACAGAATAAGTGCACACATTCTGTCACTATATAAAACTGTCTTCCTCAAAGACATTCAGAAAGGTGCCTGGAACCATACAAAGGATATGCCAAATATTTAGCTTAAAAAACAACCTATGAAAGGTAACAAAAGCAAAAATAAACAAGTGGGACTACTTAAAATTTAAAAGCTTCTGCACAGCAAAGGAAACCATCAAACAAAATAAGGCAAACCACTAAAAATGTGAGATAATATTCACAAGTCATGTATCTGGTCATGTATACTTTTAATATACAAAATATATGAAGAACTCACATAACTTAAGAGAAAAAAACAACAATCTTTTAAAAATGGACAGAAGATCTGAACAGACATTTTTCCAGGGAAGATATAGAGATGACCAACAGGTATATGAGAAGGTGTTCAATATCACTTATCCTCAGGGAAATGCAAATCAAAATCACAATGAAATACCACTTCACAACTGTAAGAATGACTATTATCAACAAGACAAGAAATAGAAAGTGTTCGTGAGAAAGTGAAGAACAAGGAACACTTCTGCACTTTTGATGGGAATGCAAAGTGGTGCGGCCACTACAGAAAACAGTGCAGAGGCCTCTTAAAAAATTAAAAATAGAACTACCATATGATTCAGTAATTCCACTTCCGGACATCTGTCCAAAGAAAATGAAATCTCTATCTAGAAAAGATACCTACACACCCATAATCACTATTTACTGCAACATTATTTACAACAGCCAAGACATAGAAACAACCTAAGTGTCCATCAATGAATGAATGGATAAAGCAAATGTGCTATATATGTACAATGGAGTATTACTCAACCATTAAAATATAAGTTCTGTCAACAGCAATAAGAGACCCCGAAGGTATTATGCTAAGTGAAATAAGTCAAACAGAGAAGAACAAACACTGTATGATCTCAAACACTGTATGATCTCACTAGTAGGTGGAATATTAAAAAAAAAAAAACAAAACTGAACTTGTAGATAAAAACAGACTGGGATTGCCAGAAGCAAGGGTTGAGAGGACAGCCAAAATGGGTGAAGGGGTAAAGACAGTAAAAAGGTAAAAAAAAAAAAAAATGTCCAGTTACAAGATAAATAAGTTCTGGAATGTAATATATAGCATGGGGATGGTAGTTAAAAACATTGTCCTGCATATTTGAAAGTTGCTAAGAAAATACATCTTAAATATTGTTATCACAAGGAAAAAACAGAAATCTATGTGTTTGTGGTGATGGATGTTAGCTAAATTTACTGTGGTATTCATTTTGCAATATATACATATATCAGATCATCATATAGTATACTTAAAACTAATTCAATGTTAAATGTCAATTACATCCCTCCCCAAAAAAGAAAAAAATCCTAGTCCACATAGCAATGTATTTTGAGCATGTACAAGTTCTATGAAAACAGTGTCTTATCATATGATGCAACCACCACTGAACTCTCCTCCTCTGACTATCTCTCATTCACCCCAGCTCTACTTGCTAGAAGCCACAGAACTCATCCGGGATCATCTGCTCCATCTCTACTCTGAACCTATGTCAACAGTGATCATGATATTACCAATTTTTATTAAATACTAATGACATCATCTTAACTTTTCTTCATCTTCATAGTCATTTACCCAACTTCCTACTGGGCACAGTCAAAGATACGTTAGGTACCTCAAACTCAAACTCCCCAAAACAGAAATTTTTCATTAATGTCAGATCATTCCCTGGTGGCTTAGTCGGTAAAGAATCTGTCTACAATGCAGGAGACCCAGGTTCAATCCCTGGGTGGGGAAGATCCCATGGAGAAAAAAATGGCAACCCACTCCAGTATTCTTGTTTGGGAAATGCCATGGTAGAGGAGTCTGGTGGACTACAGTCTATGGGGTTGCAAAGAGTCAGACATGACTGAGCAACTAACATACATACACATTAATGCTAAATTCACAGAATTAACTGCCTAAAATTAACTGTTTAACAAGTGTTAAAATATTTGTGGCAGATTCCCACTCAAAATTAATTTATGTAATGCTGTATAGAATTTTTAATGATGGGGGAGTAACGTGTTCATTAGCCACCAATCTTTCCATTTCAGGTCTGTCCTAGCAAAATCCAATGTTTGAAGACACACTTTTATCTAAGGATAACTTCTACAAACTATTCCTTTGCTCCTCTAAAATTCCATCCAGTAAAAGTTCTAAAATTTCTTGATTTTAAGGGAGAAAACCCACAAAACCATAAAAGTTGTAATACTTTGTTAGATCAATCACATAATTGAGTATTCTTAGATTACACAAAGGAGAAACATTATTTGGCAAAGACAAATGAGGCAAGGTACCAAGTTATCATAAAGAAGACAGATCTGGGAAAACAATTCAACTTTGAATTTGTACCAAAAGTCCATTTTGTAACTGAGTATTAACCAAGTGCTCTAAATGTAACTAGGGCCATTCTACTACAGTATCTTCTGGTGGGGGTAAGCAGAGAGAATGAGGGGGAGAAAGAAGGCATTATAAAAACAGCTATAGTCAGGCAAGAAAAGTAAGGGAGTAAGAGAATTACATGGGGAGAGAAATGTAATCAGGTTTCTTTGCTGGTCATGAAACTCCAGAATAAGTTAGTCTTCAGTTCAGTTCAGTCACTCAGTCATGTCCTACACTTTTCGAGCCCATGGACTGTAGCATGCCATTTCCCTGTCCATCACCAACTCCCAGAGCTTTCTCAAACTCATGTCCATTGAGTCAGCGATGCCTCTAACCATCTCACCCTTCATCGTCCCCTTCTCCTTCTGTCTTTAATATTTCCCAGCATCAGGGTCTTTTCAAATGAGTCAGGCCTTCCCATCACATGACCAAAGTAATGGAGCTTCAACTTCAGCATAAATTAGCTTTAATGATTACATGACTCTGATTATAATTATATAATCATAAGTTAGCCTTAATGATTATATAATTTTGATTCCTATAGAAATGTCATAAGGCAAAACTATCTTATTCATTATTTTTTAATAAAAGTATCATTATATTAAATTTTAATAAAGTATTATAAAAATAAATCATTAAGAATTAACATATGATAAAATGATTCTAGTCTTAATTATGATGGAAGAAAATATCAATACAGTCAACTACAAAATGAAGATGTGAGTAATGAAGACAATTCAATGATAAATATTATAGGAATATTATAAGAAGGCTGCGTGCATGCTCAGTCTCATCCAACTCTTTGCGACCACATGGGCTGTAGCCCACCAAGCTTCTCTGTCCATGCGATTATCCCGGCAAGAATACTGGAGAGGGTTGCCATTTTCTTCTCCAGGGAATCTTCCCCAACCAGGGATTGAACTCGCATCTCCTGTGTCTCCTGCATTGGCAGGCGGATTCTTTACCACTGAACTACCTGGGAACCCCTAAGGCTAAGTGCTGAGAAAATGATAAAAATGAAAAAGCCTGAAAAAGAAAATGTGCGTTAACATAAAGTATTTTACATTTTAAAACATTTTCATGTACAGTCTCTAATCTAAACAACTGACATAATAACCAGGATCAAGAGACCCAAAGGTTCTGCAGTGAGACATTCCATATGCTCATTCTCCCATAATGGCAAAATCTACATGGGCTAAATAAATGACACTATGAAAGGAAACTGAGCTAATAGGTTACAGACAAGGCTAAAATTTTAAAAGTAGAAGAATTTCTAAAGCCTTGAGGTAGGTTCA